CTTCTGGTCTCTCTACTAATGTACAATATAAGGACCTCTGGTCTCCCTATTGATGTAAAATATAAGGTATCCTTTGGTCTCCCTACTGATGTAGGATATAAGGGGATCTTTGGTCTCCCTACTGATGTACAATATAAGAGATCTCTGGTCTCCCTTTTGATGTACAATATAAGGTGTCTTCTGGTCTCCCTATGGATGTAGGATATAAGGGGACCTCTGGTCTCCCTGTTGATGTAGGATATAGGGGACATCTGGTCTCCCTATTGATGTAATATATAAAGTGTCCTCTTGTCTCCCTACTGATGTAGGATATAAGGGGAGCTTTGGTCTCCCTGTTGATGTACAAATGATCCCTGGTTTCCCTATTGATGTACAATACAAGGTGTCCTCTGGTCTCCCTAAAGATGTAGGATATGAGGGGACCTCTGGTCTCCCTATTAATATTGGATATAAGGTGACCTACTGCCTGAAAAAGGTAGTATTCCCCTCCCCTGCTCCACGTATGTGTATATTTTTTAATTTGTGTTGTGGTTAAATGCTTTCGTGTCGTGTTCTAAATCATTTTCTTACACCAAATTACTCAGTTTGGTTTTTAGATAATCAGCAGACTTTTTTTTAGTGATTTCTTATTTTTTACCCAATTGCGCAAATACTAATTCCCTTTTTCAATTTTGATATTTTCCCTGACCAAAATCTGATCAGCACGGACTAAGTGTATTCGAGTGCAGGCTGTACGATGAAGTGAGAACATGTTTACTGTTGAGAATTTACGGAGTTTATTACTTTTTTGTGATGCATATTTCAATAAATGGAATACAAGTTGTAAATCACTGTGCACATCTTTGAACGGGTACAGTAGTCTATTTCCAGGTATGAATAAGTTTACAGCGTAATATTCGGCGTGTTCTCTCGATATATGCATCAATTGTATTTGAATGCACATGGCCATGCATAGCAAATACGCTGGTTGTTTGTTCCATTCTTACGTTAGATTATTACAAATTGTTTGTACGAGTTTTACTGTGTATTATTTCAGGTTTATTGTGCATATATTGGTATGCTTTTAAAAAAACGAGCAACAATGTTTTTTCCTCCAAACTTGCATTTATTTTATTCAAAACGATAAATATTCATAATTATCGTCATGACTGTTTTTCTGTTCTGCTTTTAAAATGTTTTCATCAATTCATGTGTTCCCAAATACTTTACTATCGGAGATGTGCACACGTCGATAGCCAAACCAAAAATTAACTCAAGAGTAACGAGGGCACGGGGGTATATATCGTTACAATAAGACAAGGTGTTTGAAAGAAATATGGTGGAATAGTGGTACGAAACAAGTCATACATTGATGCAAATGTTGCGTTTTTAAGAATTCATGTCAGCTTTAATATCATTTACTAAATATGAACCTGTAAGTTTATATATATATATATATATATATATATATATATATATATATATATATATATATATATATATATATATATATATATATATATATATATATATATATATATATATAAGCACGTGTATGTATTTGTCCTTATCCAACAGGTATTAGAGTGGGAGAGAGAGGTGTATAGGTTTTGCAATTAAATAGATTAAAATAAAAAAAAATTAAAAAAATGTATCGAGATTATTTTGGTATGAATAAAATGAATACAATACGTTGCATTACTGTCCTAAAAGATTTCCTGGGATCTGTACTAACTTTAACGGGTTGTTTTTTTTTTTTTTTTTAAATTGAATCTAACAAATATATTGGCCAATCAAAAAAGGGCTTTCCCAAAGGATTTCAAGTTGAATGTAAACTTCCGGCTCCCCTTTACCAGTAGATCAACTTTGACGAGAAATTTTTAATTATCTGCAAGTGCGATGCTCCCTTTTCGTTGCTCTGTGCGTATATGTAAGTTAAGACCTCGAAAGACTGAACACAGAATGAATTTGGTTGCAGGGAATTTATATCACGGAGTTTCAGACGAAAATACAAGTTGATGTGACGGACCTAGAAAAAATCAAGATGGCGGCGATGTGAAGAAAGTATGTAACATCAAGCGCCTTTATCTGATTGATTCTAGATAGTCACGTGACAAGGTCATAAAACTTCATCTTTCCCCGTCGGCGTACTTTTCGTCATATTTAACCTTAACGAAAACAAGCATTTGCGAGTGTCCTAAGTCGATGGATAGGTAACAACTATTCCTTAGCCAAGCGCTCGGCACTTTGAAGTGAAAGTTGCGGGACCTTCAGATGAGACCTTAAAACAGAGGTCCAGTGTCACGGCATGCAATTCCTAACTGCTTAACTGCTCAATGGCCATGAGTGCCGAGTAAAGGTCTAAATTTGAAGCCCTTCACCGTTATATGGTGACGTCTCTATATGAGTGAAAAATTCTCGAATGGAACCTAAGACAACATACAATAAATCAATCTACCAATTCAAGCAGGGACAAAATTAGCGATCTTTTAACCAATAAGGTTGATTATAAAAAAATCGAATATATCAAAGACAATTTTCTGCGAAGTATCAGAGGGACTTAAGTTAAAGGGTTTTTATCATGTATCTAAATTTCTTAAAAATGAAAGACTGTTATATTCTTGAAACATATGATTATCGTTTATTATGAAATAATTTTGAAAAGAGTCATAACTAGGCGATAAAACCCCCGTAATATTACGTTCTCGAAGTAAAAATATCCACTAATGAGATAGGGGTCACGTGGTACTGAAGAGTCATTGGTGGCAATGGTCAATTAAAACTCGTAAATAGACAACACAGTAAAGTCGGTAAAAATTTTGGCATCGACGATATTCTTTTGGTTATGGAAGGTCAATCTTTTATGTATGAATGTGTAGCAGAGAGAAATAACCAAGAAAGTCTACCGACAATAGGAGAGGACACCAAAAACAAAGCCGTTGACAACTCGGGACTTTGACTAAATAGAACGAATTACTAAAGTTTGAAGCTGAATTTGTCCAAAATCTTATGGGTGAAAAGAAGAAAACATTTGCTGTGGCCTTCAACTCGACATTTAGATACATCGACGACGTATTGTCAATTAACAATTGTTATTTGCATTCCTATGTCGATACGATATATCCTGGTGAGCTTGAGATAAAAGATACCACAGAGTCTGACACATCTGCTTCATATTTGGATATTTTACTTGAAAAGACGTTAATGGTAATCTAACATCCAAGCTTTATGATAAACGTGATGACTTTAACTTTTCAATCGTCATCTTCCCTTACTTATGCAGAAATATACCTTCATCACCTGCATACGGGGTTTATATCTCTCAGTTGATTCGATATGCAAGAGCATGCTCTACGTATGTACAATTTCTAAAACGAGGTAAATTACTGACAAACAAATTGATGAAACAAGAATATCAGCAGTCTCGTTTAAAGTCATCATTTCGTAAGTTCCATGGTCGATACAATACCTTGTCAGCAAATACAATTTATCATTGAGTCAAATGCTGACTGACGTTTTTCATACTAATTGTTAGGCCATTATTTACACACTGAATTGTCGACGGATTTTTCTGTTATTTCCCGATCATGACAAGGAGCACACGCGGGTGTGACCGGTCGGCAGGGGATGCTCACTCTTCCTTGGCACCTGATCCCACCTCTGATGTTTTGGAGGTCTGTGTTTGCTCTGATCCTATTTTGTATTGTTTAATGGACTTTTGAACTTGAATACCGTTCGTTATCTTCATATATTTCATTCCTAAATATTGATTACTATGACAATTTTGAATTTAATTTCTTCATTATTTTAATAAATTATAGATAAATGAATGCTGTGTATCTTCTATCTGTCCCAGTAAATATCATGTGCCAGAAGTGACACTTCGACAGTGTTCAATGGCGCCGTACGCCATTACGAAGTTCACAACATTCCTACTGGATTCTGTGCGACCTTAAAATGGCGTGTTGGGTATTTTTTCCGTTTTAAAAAGGTACCATGTCCCTTAAAATATTTTTATAGTACAGACAAAAATCGCGATCGGGCATAAGCAATTGTTCTGAATGGAGATAATTCCTTGAAGAAAAAAAGGCCACCTTCCATCTTTACATCAAGTCTAGGAAATGTGAAAAAAGTGTTCCTAAAACCTTTTATGTGCACATTTGTGCATCTTAAGACCACAAATTATACCTTACTAGCTGTTAATTATCCAATCATCACTTATTTATTTACTAACAGGTTTAATAGACACAAGAAATTAGCCGTTTTTATACACAATAAGTACTTTGCTTGACCACGATTGACACCTTTGACGTCAGAGCAATGGCGCATAGCATCGGGGATCAAAATATGCATATAGAGAAATTGAAACTTTAAATCGCTGAAACATCAACATTATTAATTTTCTAGCAAAGATTTTTGAATATATGATTTTAATAGCATGTAAACTTTGTCATATTAAAAAAGTTTGAGATGTGATAAAAATCCTTTAAGTCTTCCGTTGATTTTTTTAAAAATGAAATTAAATTTGAGAGCAGTGCCAGATTTAAAATTTTGTGTTTATTTGTAAAGACTTGGCTTGTTTTGATATCATAAAAAATATTGCATGGTTGTTCGGAGAATATAATTTTTCTTGGCTGAATAAATCTTCAAAATTTGAAATACAATCCTGCAATAAAAGTATTTTATGATTTATTCCTTTTACATGTTAATATCAGCAAATGATGATGATGATTACAATAATAATAATTATCTAATGTAAAATTTTTGATAGATATAATTTCCATACATGATATAAATATATGTACTTGTATCATCATAGAATTTATAATGTCGTAATAAAATGTAAGATTAAAAATTTTCTTTTATTCAGTGTTGTCGAAAGATTCTTGGCGAGAAATTGATCCTGAGATGTTCTCATTAAAGGTTTGTTTTAATTTTCATTTTAAGAAACTGTTTCTATAAGGCATTGTCTCATTTTAGGAGCATGATGTACATTTTTTTTTCTATCTGCAGTACAAAAAAGCCTTATTGGAAAAAATAACATCCATGGCAGTACAACGAATTGGTATTTGCATCAACATCTGTTTATTTGGTGTTTGCAATTCTGGGAAATCATCCTTTATCAACACGTGCGCCACGGCTCTTCAAGATGGTGAAAGACAGGTTGAACTTGCAACTGTGGGAAGTTCTTCAGAAAGTCTCACAACGCGGGTACGAGTATCCATAACACATTTGAAGAACACACTCTTTAAGTCTGAAAAGTGGAAATATATTGTTCTGTTCCACCTATGATTTATTCTCCTTTCTTTTAAGCTTCGCTGGGATATCAAATACTGTAAAAGTCAATAATTTACATGGGGGGGGGGGGGTAATTTTCTTTTTTTCGAGATATGAAGACATCCCTGAATTTTTATCTTCCACACAATGTTAGAATTACAAAGAGCAGTGCCATGCATAACTACCCTAATAAAAACACTATAGTTAACCATAAGAAATTGTAGTGATCTATAGATAACTATAGTAAACTATAGTGATAACTTTGACATTGTGAAAAATATAGTTCACTAATGTGATAACGTTGATATTTTGATTAACTATTGCGATAACTTTGAAAACTTTAATTTATTAAAGTGATCACAAGGACACTATAATGATCACTATGAAAACTATGTTCAATGATAATTAACATGCCGTTGTGTATAAGACGAAAGCTCTATTTATCTTGTTTGATACACTTAATTACATTTGATATTATGTGACTTGATTCTGTAAAAGACCAATCAAAACGATAGACAAACCCTAATCATTTTCAATAATATTTTTTGCTATTAGTTAACATTGAAAAACATAGTTTTAAAAATCAATAACTAAAAATAAACTTTAAAATAAAATGTTTTGCATGTACATGTAATGTGCGTGGAATTATTGGAAATGCAAGACATCAACAGTATTGGTAAAATGAGAAAATCTACAAAACTGGATAATACCTATTTTATGAAATTAAATGAGACTTTCATCAGAACATTATATACTGTAGTTATAAATTTTAAACTGAAACACCATAGTTATCAATTTTAAAATTTTTATTTACAATAGTGATTTCCTTGAAACTTTGATTTACTAAACTGATCTCTTTAACACTATAGTGATCACTATGATACTACAGTGATAACTTCGAAACTTGAATAACTAAAGTTAACTTGCCGGGATCGGGATTCCATGGTGAGCGGTTGAAAATCTTTGTGCTCCGATTATTGGGAGTGTGTATTGCTCAAAATTTCTTTTTACTAGTTATCTAGCCCTCCAGAAACTAGAAAATCAATAGTAAGTGATGTCCAATTGGACCCGCTGACGTTACCATTCAACCAGCGATTATATCAACCAACTAAGGACAGAGAAAATTCGAACCAAATGAGTAGTATTTACACCTGAATATCCTAAAATGAACCTACATATGTTTATGATTATCTTAATATGGATACTATCCATATTATGTTCAGAAAATCTTGAGTTTAATGAAAAGAACACTGCTTACATAACAAAACCAACCTATAGTATACATGTATGGCTATCAAGAACTTTGCCTGCTTATCAGCATAGTATACATAACTACGTACGACCAAAGTGCCTCATCAAGCTATTATTACTTATTGGTGGTCAAGTCGAATGTAACCCAGGCCCAGTAAAGTATCCCTGTGGCATATGCACAAGGGCAGTAAAAACTGGTTAACGTGGTGTTGCCTGTGATAAATGTGACAAATGGTATCACACTTCGTGTATGTCCATGACTACCCCAGAGTATATCCATCTTGCTAACACTTCCATAGTGTGGATTTGTAGTGCTTGCAACACCCCAAACAGCAGCAAGATCTACAATTCCATTTCAGTGGAAGAGAACACATACAACAGCCTCTCAGCCACGAATTCTGACATACTACATACATGCAGCCCATGCTCTTCCATTGGGAGTCCGTGTGCTACATCATCTCCTATCCGTGATCAGTCACCTCCCAAACAACAGAAACGGAAGTTTCTCAGAGTGGTATCACTAAACTTCCAAAGCATAAAAAACAAAGTTCATGAGACTGAGGTACTCATTGATAACTCAGAATCTGACATTATTGTAGGTACAGAGACTTGGCTGAATGAGAACATCTTCTCAGCAGAACTTATACCTACAACATACAATGTCTTCCGAAGGGATAGGGCTGACTCACATGGTGGAATCATCATTGCTGTCAAGAATGACTTGGTGTGTACGCCAATCTACACCAGTAAAGACCATGAGCTCCTCTGTGTTAGACTTCATGTGAACAAGAAAAAGTCAATCATCATAGGAGCCTACTACCGCCCACCCAACATCACTTGCGAAAATAATGAACGCCTGGCTGTAGCAGAGATGAGCAAGGTTCGCTCGGATAATCCTAAGTGTGACTTTTGGATAGCGGGAGATTTTAACCTTCCAGACATTAACTGGCCTACCCAATCAATCATCTCCCATCAATACCCAAGCAAGATGTCGACAGAGTATTTGAACATCCCTGGTGATTGTGGAGTGGAGCAGCTTGTATGCACACCAACACGGGGAGACAAAATCCTAGACTTGTTCTTTACGAGCAACCCATCACTTGTGCAACGATGCAAAGTCATCCCAGGGGTAGGCGACCACGACGCAGTCTTAATTGACTCCTTAATCCAGCCGCTAAGAAGTAAACCGGCCCGTCGAGAAATATACTCATGGGATAAGGCAGATATGACATCTTTGCGAAGAGACATCAACAACTTTGTACAAGACTTTATCACCAGACCTTTCACTTCTGTTGACACTCTCTGGGAACTCTTTAGAGACTCCACACTTAGCATCATGAACCGACATGTTCCTCATAAGCTCACACGATCCAGGACATCAAACCCTTGGATCAATACAGCTAGCAGACGTTTATCACGCAGGAAACTACGTGCATTCCACAAAGCCAAGGCAACAAAGAAGCAGTGTGACCAGCAAAGGTACCTGTCTCTTAAATCAGAATGCCAGCGCACTATTCGTCTTGCCTATCAACAATACATGAATGACATTATCACCCCCAGTGCCTCAGAAAATCCCAAGAAATTCTGGTCATTTATTAAGAGCAAAAATCAAGAAGCCTCTGGTGTAGCACCATTACGGAATACGGACGGGCTCATAACCAGCGACCCACAAGCCAAGGCGAATATATTAAACGAACAGTTTAAATCCGTATTTACAACGGAGGACACTAGCCGAGCTCCAGACAAGGGTCCCAGCCCATTCCTAACAATGGACAGCATAATCATTAATCCACGTGGTGTGTACAAGCTATTAAGTAACTTACAACCACACAAGGCTACAGGACCAGATGCCATTTCAGCACGTTTTCTGAAGGAATTGGCAGAGGAGATTACACCTGCATTGACCTTTCTATTCCAAACGTCTTTGAATTGTGGATGTGTACCAGATGACTGGAAGATGGCCCATGTAGTTCCCATCTTTAAGAAAGGCGACAAGAGTGCAGCGGCAAATTATCGTCCTGTATCACTTACAGCAATTTGCTCCAAGATCCTGGAACACATTCTCCATTCTAACATCATGGACCACTTTGAAAGGAACTCTATCCTTACACCAGCACAGCACGGATTTCGTAGTAAGCGATCATGTGAGACTCAACTTATTGCCACAGTACAAGATCTTGCTAGTAGCCTATCGAATGGAAACCAGATTGACGTCATCTTACTGGATTTCGCCAAAGCATTCGATAAGGTACCACACCAACGTCTCCTCCACAAACTGAATTATTATGGGATTCGTGGCTGCACTCTACAATGGATAGAAAGTTTCTTATCAGACAGAAAACAGCGAGTATTGGTTGAAGGGATGTCCTCCAACATAGCAGACGTGAACTCCGGAGTACCTCAAGGCACAGTAATGGGTCCCCTATTATTTCTTGCCTACATCAATGACCTCCCGGAGGTGGTAACATCAAATGTTAAATTATTTGCAGACGACTGCCTCATCTACAGGACAATTCAATCAATCAATGACACAGTCCAACTCCAACAGGACTTATGTGCACTTGAGAAATGGGAAAAGGACTGGCAGATGACCTTTCACCCTCAGAAGTGTACCATTATCCACATATCTAAGAAACACCATCCAATTAAAGAATCATACCAACTGCATAACCATACCCTGGAAGATGTCCCAAGTGGTAAATACCTTGGTATCACAATTAGCAAAGATCTTTCATGGCGCGAGCATATTAACTCAACTTCTGCCAAGGCCACGAGAACAATTGGATTTTTAAGAAGGAACCTCAGAAGTTGCCCACAGGCTATCAGAAGCAAGGCATACACTACGCTAGTACGTCCAGTATTGGAGTACGCGTCAGTGGTTTGGGATCCTTTCCAACATCATTTAATCCAACATCTAGAAGATGCTCAGCGCCGGGCAGCAAGGTTCGCCACAGGTGATTACTCATCAAGGGACCCAGGAAGTGTGACCACCATGCTATACCAACTCGGCTGGGAACCACTTGAACATCGGAGGGCCCGGAACCGAGTGATCATGTTCTACAAGATCTACCATCACATTGTGGAAGTTCCGGTACATCATGTGCTACATGTCACCAATAGCAGAACCCGTGGTTCTATGGTAAACAAAATCCGCCAAATCAGCACCAGGGTTGATGTCTACAAATACTCATTCATACCAGCAACTATCATAGCATGGAACAATATACCAGCCACAATTAGGAATTCACCATCAGTGGACACCTTCAGACATGCAATACAGTCCATCAGCGTGTCTGATATTCTACACCACTAAATTGTCCACTTTTAACTTTTTATCCCTTTTAATACGGTGTACATAGATTTTTAGCTGTTCACTACGGAATTACTGGAGTTTTAACACTCAAATTGAGTTTACTCCATCAAGGGAAGAAGAAGAAGAACTATAGTCAACTATAGTAAACTCGGCGTTCAGAAATTTACAATCAATAAAGTCAATGAATTGTCTTTGTTTGACAAGGCACTTTCTATCTATTTCATATAAATGTTTTAAATCAGCATCACCATCATATAAATATCGTTTTAAAACAATTTTTTAATCCTTGATCTGCTTTTCTGAACCGGGCGGATTTCAAAAATACCCTGAATAATCAAACCGAATTACATATACTTAAACATGTAGGGGTACAAGTACTATTATTCATCTTTATTCATCAATCAATTCTGTTCTTAACAAGACCTGGTATACTGCATTTAAGATAAATTAAAATCATGCATGACCAAAAAAAAAAAAAAAAAAAAAAAAAAAAAAAAAAAAAAAAAAAACTGGTGCATTTTACAAGTTGTTAAACAATACTGCGTTCCAAAGCTTACTGATGGAGATGCAAAACAGAAAAATACACGTTGTAACAATTGTTCAAATATACGCAATCGTTATACAGTTGATTCTTTATTCTAAATTTGTAAACAATTTAAGGCCAATGGATACGGGTTTAACATGGAAAGAAATTCACATTTTCACTCACCTCGACTAAGTTCTATATCCCAGTGTCGGCGTTAGTGTTGGCAGGTTAAAATCCAAATTATATGCGCAGTGGTGACCAAACTGCATCTAAGAATGTACATTACCAGACATGCTTGGAATGCTGGATATGATATGACATGATTAAAAGTTTTGAAGGAACTTCAAGTTATTTCAAGAACAAAATTGCATGAAAAATGCAACTAGGGATGCATCGTACAATATGTATCTCAGATGCAGGATCAGACATGCATTTTTAGGGTGATTGAACAGGTTAATGTTTTTTTTTTTTAATAACAGTGCATTTTCTAAATTACTATAAGCCCTATGGTGACCAAACTTGCTTGATAGTGCATCAAAGGATGTTATAAAAAGATTTTATCTGACTTAGTGACCATTTTAAAGTTTTTGGAGCATGTCTATTCCAAAGTAACTTTAGATCCAATTCAGATGGTATTATCTTTTACCGAAAATTCAAACTTTATAAATGCAAAATTACTCTTAGTTACGATAAAATAGTTGATAATTTTATTTGGATCGATGAGTATATTAAGCAGAGTTTAAGCAGAGTTTATGATGCAAAAATATGAAATTAATGTTGTTAGACTTTGAAAAGAAAGCTGCAGTCTTTGCTAGCTTATAGTATTACTTAAATTTATTGACTGCGAAATTTTATACTGTTTTAAATTTTAAATAAAAGTGTATAGCCTTAATTGGAAATTCAGAATACCAATAATGAATTTCTCTATACAGTTTCACTTTATATTCATCATAACAGCCTAGTTAAGACAAGTGATCTAACGTTTCCTTCATATTTCTGTTATACTTTCTTGTTTTTCAATAGGCTCATTTCTTTGGAATATTCTGAAAGACCCTACTTCAAACAAATTTTATACGCAGACAACCCAAAGGAAAAATTCGCTTGGAATTTTTACCCTTTCATCCCAATTCTTATCAGGTTATCTGGAGTTCCTTTTTGCTGTTTAAACATCATCAGTCATCCGTAAAGTAACGAACAAATTTGGCTTTTTTCTTCAATCAATTTGAAAATATCCTAAAAGATAAATTTAGGGTCAGGATAACATCAATTAAAATTAAACTCGAGAACATAAAACTAAAACAGAATAAAGTAATAATGATCAAGAAGACTGAAAGTGGGGGATATTAATTTGGGTCTGTCTGTCCGTCTGTATTTCTGTCTGTCTGTAACGCTTTCGTTTCCGCGCGATATCTCGAGAACCCTTTGAGCTTTTACAAGATAATTTTAAATAACAACTCCCTGTGGTCTAAGGAAGACCCCTATTGTTTTTGAGGTCAAAAGGTCAAAGTTCAAGGTCGTAAATTCATACATTCCGACTGTGTGAAACACTTTCGTTTCCGGGCGATATCTCAAGAAGCTTTTGAGCTTTTGCAATGAAAATTTATACCATAACTCACTAGGGCCTGTCTCGCCCCTCTCAAAGTGTCCCGCCCCGTTTTTATTTTAATTACTATTAACTGTATTAAAGTCGCTTTGCACTATTTTTAGCACAGGGGCATGTGGAGAGTTATTACGTATAATACAGGTTGTCGGCGGACTTTATATTCTTATTACATCTATTAGAACTGTTTAGTAAATGCTAAATTAGACAACATGTATTGTGTAAAATTTTGACAATATCGAACGTGAATATAAACATTATATGTGACCTAATGTTTGCATTTAATTTGCTGTATAAGCAAGTGCCTCCGTGGTCTAGGGGTATGGCTCTCGCTTAACATGTGAGAGGAGCCGGGTTCAAATCCTGGAAGATCCTTTTTCTTAAACTGTTTTTTTTTTGGATTTATTAGATGATAGTATTCTTCATGTGAAATGAAAAAGTTATGACGTCTGGCTTGTCCAAACTCATAAAATCATTATTACAGTGTGATAAATATTCTATATAAAAAGAATCTTCTATACACATATTATAGAATAAGCAATCAATCAAATCTTTATATCCATACTGGCATTTTTTTATTTGCTTCAATATACATGTATACATTTAATAATTCTACAAATCCAGTGGGGGGGGGGGGTGTCTGCCCCCCTCCCCGAACTGCGCAGACTCTTCTTTTTTCCCTAAGCGGGGGACACAAATTCTCTGAATTAGCTTGTTTTAAAATTATGCCAATGAATGAGAAAAAATTGATAATTTAGTAAGAAAATGATAATTCACTATCCATGTCATTGAATTACAGTGACTATGAACAAACATACAGCAATATCTTTCAAATGAATGATCATTTGTTTAACAGGATTGAACCATATATACATGTATATGTTTTATCTGCAGCTGAGGGAATACAAAATTTCTTCAAAAGACAACAAACATCTTATTTCAATGTATGACTGTCGGGGAATGGATGATACACGCGGTGTTACAACAAAGGATCTCATTAGCATTGTAAAGGGTCACATACGATCTAACTATGAGGTAATTGTCACCCGCTTTCACTGAAAGTGGGGGATATTAATTTGGGTCTGTCTGTCCGTCCGTCCGTCTGTATTTCTATCTGTCTGTCACACTTTCGTTTCCGCTCGATTCTCAAGAACCCTTCGAGATTTCGCAATGAAATTTTGCATTGCAACTCCCTATGGCCTCAAGAAAAACCCTATTGATTTTGATGTCAAAAGGTCAAAGGTCAAGGTCATAAATTCATTAATTCTGTCTGTTTTAACACTTTCGTTCCCGCGCGATATCTCGCGAATTCTTTGAGCTTTTGCAATGAAATTTTACATAACAACTCCCTGTGGCCTAAGGAAGACCCCTATTGATTTTGAGGTCAAAAGGTCAAAGTTCAAGGTCGTAAATTCATAAATTCCGTCTGCGTGTAACACAGCTAGTGCACATCAACAAAATTTACCATAGATGCGGGTGATTTAATCGAAATATTTACAAACTGGGGGCACATAAAAATTAAATGGAAATATAAAAGGGAAGAAGAATGTGTAACAAATTTGTTGATGTATGCATATTCCGTGTGTTCTTATGCTTTAGATAAATAATCGGGCGAAGTTTGAGCGAGGTGAGGCAGACAACGAGAAAAGAGTTGCAAACTTTCTCTCTTTTTATGTATCAGTCGAAAACGGTATATTTAAAAACATCATATAGAGACAAACGAGTTACATCATTGATAACATATAGCGCATATTAGAATACAAAAATATGAAAAAGGTGACTCGAACCCAGATTTAAAAAGAAAAAAAAAAGGAAAGGGGGGGGGGGGGTTCCATACCCCAAGTACCTGTGGATTTACTAAGTGATGCTATTCAACATGTGAAATGAAAAGTTATGACGTCTGCCATGAACAAACTCATAAAATCATTATTACAGTGTGATAAATATTCTATATATTAAAAAGAATCTTCTATACAAATATTAAAGAATAAACTATCAAATCTTTATATTCATATTGGCATTTTTTATTTCCTTCAATATGCATGTATACATTTAATAATTCTACAAATCGGGGGGGGGGGGACCCCCCCTCACCTGAACTGCGCATGATCTTCTTTTCTCCCTAAGCGGGGGACACAAATTCTCTGAATTAGCTTGTTTTATTTTTAATGGCAGTTATAGGGGATATAGCTACCCAGTTATCCCGGCAGTTAGTTTTTGTTAGTTAATAAATAGTGTAAAAAGTGCTATAATTTACTGATAATTGCTGATATTGAGCTGACTTTGTTGCTTTGTTGGTATACTGATATTTACGGATATTTTACCGTGATGACTGATAATTGTAGTTATTTAAGTTTTTATTAAAGAGAACGCAGAATCATTAAAGTGAATGTATTATTTTTTAATAGGCTTATTTGCAAGCAATTATTAATCAGTGCAAGACATAGGTGGCCAATTTTTCAAAATGTATATATATATATATATATATATATATATATATATATATATATATATATATATATATATATATATATATATATGGAAATTATATTGGTGAATGTGAATATTTGCGCGAGTTGGTTGTTGGTGGTACACATGCACGAGCTTGCGAGTCAACGGCAATACTTATGTTGGGTAGTGGCAGATAGTTAAGATATGTCTCACAAAATTGAAAATATTAATTTAGTACCTATGAGCCTCCATAAAATCATCAATAAGCAAACCGTTGACTCGTTGGTTGTTTGTGCCAATATTCACCAATATAATTTCAGAAACTCCTTTATTAAATAGCTAAAACATTTTCTTATTTATTTATTTCAAATTTCAGTTTAAATATCTCAAAACATATGAAAAGTTTTCGGTATTCGTATCTAAACTAAAATTGTAAATATCAACGTCTGTCCTTAAAGTTTTAATGTCACATCATTCAAATGTCCCTACCACCCCTTATGATTTGCTTATTGATGATTTTATTGAGGCTTATAGGTATTAAATTAATTAATAATTTCAATTTTGTGAGCAACATCTTACCTAGTTGCCACTACCCATCATAAGTTTTGCCCTTGAGTGGTTGACTAACTTTCAATAAAAGGCCAAGATATTGAAAGCTAAAAATCTCTAGACTTTTAGTAGTTTTTTCTTTTTTAATAATAGACTATTCTTTAGCTATATACTAGTAATATATATATATACATACATACATATATATATATATATATATATATATATATATATATATATATATATATATATATATATATATATATATATATATATATATATATATATATATATATATATATATATATATAAGCACTAAAAATGACCAACGACACGAACAATAATAATTGTCAAATTTTCGGGACGACCTGTCCCTTCCTCAGGACAAAGAAAAAAGTTAAGAAGTCGTAAAAACAAAGAAAATAGAGAAGCAAAAACAACTAGCACTACTACTAAACTACCAAACACTAAATATTTACAATGTTACATGTTTAATTTTGAGTTTATAAACAGTTGTGAACAAAGAAATCCAGAGCGCTATGAATTGCGTCCGGTCTATCGGGTGTACTCTGGTGAAGTCACCCGATATATCTTCTGTCAGAGCTTTAAAGCCCCCGTTAGGTAATGGATTGTCCAATCTGGTTCTTACTACCATGTCCTTTAGATTGTTCGGGCGTCTGTATGCAGCAAGTGGGGGCTCCTTAAAAACCTCTGCCATTCGTTTATTTGAGTGGAGAATTGGCAGATTCTTTTGAAGGATACCGCTGAGGTTCTTAAGGACGGGATGGTATGTGGTTACCAGAGGGACCCTGCCGCTATTGTCTTTTTCCTTGTAGCGTAATAGGTTTTGCCTGTCATGTCCCGCCATCTCATCAATAGCAGTTTGTACGGTGCGGGAATTGTAGCCTCTCTTGCATAAGTGGGACTTGAGGAGACCGCTTTGTTCCTGATATAAGGCAGGGGATGAACAGATGCGCCGAATTCTGGTGGCTAGACCCTTAGGCACACCCTTAAATGTGTGTGGGGGATGACAGCTAGTTGGCATAAGATACAAATGGGAATCTGTGGGTTTTGTGTGGAGACTGAACTTGATTTCACCATCAGTCAGGGTAGTATCTAGGAATATGTTTTTCGAATTAGATACGTCTACTGTAAATTTGATAGACTGATGAAAGGTGTTGGCAAACGAAATGAATGCCTCGAGGCTCTCGCGACATTCCACCCACTTCATCTCTATATCGTCAATGAAACGCAACCAGCTAAGGGGCCTAAATGGTGCTTGAAGTAGCAAGTTGCGTTCAAGTCTGCCCATGAAAATATTGGCATAAGATGGTGCCATTTTCGTACTCATAGCAGTGCCATTAACCTACAGGTAATGTTCTCCATTAAACATGAAGTTGTTATACTTGAGAACATGTTCAAGGAGCTTGGCAAGGGACTCGGTAGAAGGAATTTGTATGGATCTACACCACGGACTACATTAACAAGACGCCCTCTACTGGCCTTCCAGATCATACCCTTCTCGTGACTATGGACGTCACATCTTTGTACACCAATATTCCGCACGATGAGGGTATCGAAGCCTGTAGAGAAGTCTGGGATAGTAGATCCATACAAAATCTTTCAATTTTAGTCTTAAAAGTTTATTATTATTTATTGATTGCTTTAGACATATATCTTATTGCATTTCAACAATATCAAACAATGCCAAATAATACATAGTGGCATTGTATGGTAGTTTTTTATAGACTTCTGTCAGTAATACTTCTTGACATATTTTTAAAGAAGCTTTTCAAAATGCAGGTCGTCACCCCCCCCCCACCCCCACCCCCCCCCCCCACCCTTTGAAATATTTCTAGATCGACGCATGTTCACTTTAACACATTCTACACATTCCACTCTCCCTAAGTATTTTATTATGTCGTCCTGTCTCTTAATCAAGATTATAAGATGAACGTCTAATTCGACTAACTTGAAATGGAGCTGTGCAGTTTTAAACTGACGAAAACTACGCGCCGCATTTTCGTTTCACGGGGGGAGGGGGATATTTTCCATTTTCCGGATATTTTCCATTTTCCACTGCATTCTATAGCGGAAAACATGTTTTAACAGAATTACAGAGTAATCTCTTCTTCTTTCCAAATAATTATTGTTTTGAAACTTCGTTTATTTATATTTATATCATTCAGATATGCCTTTTGAAAATTGAGGAAGGTGACAAAACAGTTCTGAATACATGGTATATACATGTAAATCTCGGCGTTCGACATTTTAGCGGGGGAAAATGGACGTTCTATAGCAAAAAATGTGACATTTAAGCAGAAATTAAAATACATATGGACATTCAACAAATTGTTAAGTTATATATAATTATATCTATGCCTCTTCCGTTAGCCAGTCGGGCTAAGTATTCTGCCCCCTGCGGGGGTAGGGATAGGATTTTGCGCAGACTTAACAATACTATTCATTTCTCAGGATTGTAAAATACAAATCTGTATCTGTATTACATTTCCTCTTCAGAGTTATTATCATAAATGCTTATACCTGCACTTACCTTATAAATAAAAATGAGTTGAGTTTTATTCAATAGTTTTTAGCTGTGCCGTCTAAACCTTTGCTAGAGTCGGGAACTTAGAAATGTTAAAGTTCGTCATATTTTACTGGCATTACATTGATTGTTTAAAAAATAAATTTTATCCGAGAAAAAAAAAATCCATAATTTTTTTTTATTGAATTATTACAGGAAATTGTTTTTCTTCATATTAAATGCTTTATAATTTTTCCGCTGTAATTAATGTCTATTCACACCTTTGCAGGTCCTTCGCCCACACATCTCCTATTATGTTCATTCATGTATTGTGATTTAATTATATACTTGGCTCATAAACGCAATGGGTGTTTGAAAAAATATATATAAAGATATTAAAATATTATCCAATAATTTTTTAATCGTAAGTATAATTCATCTATTAGCATTACATGTACCAGCTGATCAGGGTGCCCTTTGCCTAAAACTCATTTAAAATTGCGGAAAT